TTTTTTTTTTTACTTTAGACACCAAATGTTGGTGAAGATTCTCAGTCCTCCATGTCATAGTCATTCCCAAAAAAGTTGAAAAACAATCCACTGGACTTTGTTTCCAAGTTTGAAGACGTTTTGCTTCCCATCCAGGAAGCTTTTTCAATTCAAATGTCAGGAAAAGCATTGAATTCAAGGTTATACAGTAGTTCAACAAAGCCTTGTTTTTGTTTTGAAAACATGCAAATGCAATGGATGAATGGGGGTTGTTTGGCTTCTTTTGTTAGCCTGCAATGCCCCATACCCATTTAAGTGTCTAAAGGGGATTGTTGGCCTGGCTTAATAGGTCTTCTGCTCCCCTTTTAGAGGGGTTGGGGTTGCAATGACAGTGGGAAGGGATTAACTCAATTGCTGCATTGTAGGTTTTTGAAAGCTGAACTCTGAGTCCAAGCCCTCTGTGTAAGGTTGGGTTTTCTTTCTTAACATAGCGTCCTTTTCTCTACTTTCAGAACACAGATTTTCTTTGTCCAAAATGTGAACATTCTGGTGCTCAAAAGAATTTTTGCATCTGTGGAGAGGTTGTTTGGTTCCTCCAATATAAAGATCAGAGCATTCCTCACTGCATTGAACTGCATACACCACTCTGCTCATATTTGGTCTGGGGGTTTTGCCCTTAGGATGCACTAGCCTCTAAGGGTCACGTTAGGTTTAAAATGTACTGGGAATTTGTGTTTGGAGAAAATCCAAGCTTTTTCACTTCTTTTGAAATGAAAAAGCTTCCTGTGTAGGAAACAGAACATCTTCAAACCTGGAAAACCAAGTTCAGTGGTTTAACTTTTTTGGAATCCCATTCTTTGCAAGATTATTTCTTAGTATACCTCTTAGGAAACTGAAACGTTCATTGCTTTTAGTGCTTTAGAGTGGCAAAAAAGCAGTTTAAATCATTACATTTCATTCTAAAAACCACTTCAAGTTGATAAACCCAAGTTGCCTCTAAACCATTTTGTATTACCTATTGATGATAAAGTTTAGCGCTTTCTTTAAGACAGAGTGAACACATTTCATTGTATTCTTGCAGAAGTTGGTTTTTGCAAGCAGTACAGTTATGAATGTCATTCTTCACAAAGGCTTTTGTGTTCTGAGTTTTTATGGACAGTACTGTAGAAATACAAGGTTTTCTGTGGGCCAAAGCAGGTTATCTGACTAACTACATAAGTACCTTTCTTATCAGTGATATAATCAGTAAATTTCTGTTAAGGTATTTGAACTAATACTTTACACACCTCTGCTGGTACTAAGAAAAACTGTAATTGAAATGTTTGCTAAAGGAGTGGAATGGAGCAGAGTGCTTAGCTGGAGCTGGTGGAAAAGAGGCAATATAAAATCTAATAGAAAAGCGACAATATTGCCACCTGTTTATATGTGCAGTTTTCCATCCTACAGAAGGAAGTACTGATATATATATATATATATATATATATATAATTTTTATTTAATTTTTTTCTTTCTGCAAACTCACTGTTAACACTGCAGCAAGTAAAAAGTGGTTTACAGCCTCTGATTACACTCATGATTATTCAATATTTTTCCTATGTTTACTCATTTTCATTAAACTATATTTCTAAAGGTGCATGTTTAAGCCATCTGACAGCTCATATCAACTATCCCTTATGTGGACAATGAAATGTATCTTATTTTCATATTAATTAGTTCATGATTGTTTGTGTGAGGTTTGTGTGTCAATATATTTGATTAAGCAGTGGATCTGTCAAACTACCCTCTCTGTGTCATCTTCTCTATTTTCGACAATTATAGACTAAGTCTGAAATTATCTAATAATAGATATCCTACTCCTTCACCTTTTTTGGGGGTCAAAGATAAGAATTCAGTTGTTGGTAGTAAAGGAACCTCAGACTACGTGGATGCTGCTTGTCAATCGGGGACTACAGTCTTCTGAAAAAAAAAAAAAAAACATCTTAGAGTCTGATTAACTCTAAGATACTGACTGAACTAGCCATCGCAATTGTGTCTAACGTTAGAAAATAGAGTAAATAGAAAGTAATTCACTGTGAAATGTCAATGTATTAATTGTTAAGTGGATGACGCTGTTTTTGTAGTGTTTGTATTTCTCATTTGAAAAAGTCATGTGCTGAAACATACTGCATGTTATATTGATGGGGGGGGGGAGCAACTCAAACATTTTTAAAGGCTAATGCACAACCGCAGCATAAAAGTATATGGAACCATGCATGCACATTTTGCTAACAGAAAAATACTATAGCATTAACAAACATGTACTTAGAATTCAGTCTTGATGTGAAATCTTGAAATTATATGTAATATGTAACTACGACATCAATATCATCAACACATGTATAGTACATGTACATCAGTTTAGCATTTTTGGCGAATCTGTATTATTGTGCTCCATTAACACACAAATTTTGTTTTGATGGATTTGTATAACATGTTACATGATTTATAGACTTCATTGACATAATGACTCTGTAATGTGATGTGCCTAATTTTTTTTATTATAAGTTACTAATCTACTTATGCTATCAAGCAGCAAGTATGTGTTCAAGTGATTTATCTTTATTCTAAAAGTGTTAAGCCTCCCTGAAAATGGCAACATCATTGTTGTTCGATGCTGTAGCGCATTTATTGTTTACATTGCGACCGGTCTAACTAGGGAGTACCAACATTGCGGCTGGTGGCTTCACTCCATCCCGTACTACCAACAGGCTATCAGCAGTCCAGTGAATAGAGACCAGTGGTGACAGCGGATAAGTTAGGTAGCATACAGGCTATTCTTCCTATCTCCTTCTTTACTCTTAGAACAATGCGGCCTTAGGTTCACTAAAAGTCTTTATCACTACTCTTAACATTCTTTTTTGAGTAATTCTTAATTTTACATCACTAAATGCTACTTCTATTTCTGATATCCTTGTGATCATTTAAGTAATTCCATAATTAAGATTTATCAGAGCCTATATTCACAACTCTTTGAGTTTTATTTATTTTGTATTTGGATCATTTTAAATCACTCCTTAAAGCTCATTTATATTCCTTGACATGTCAATATCTGAATCTGTAAACTATGTGTCCTAAAGGTGCACTTTGGTTTGGTGCTTTATGATTAGAATTGACATTCAGTGTAGTTTTTGGTGCACGTTATGTAGTAATAGACCAACACATAGTAGAAGAAAACTGAGAGGGAATGAGGACAATACATAGCTGTCTTAATGTTTAACAAACTGAATCTAAAAAGTCTACAGTCCATTCAACTCCCATTAACCACTGTGTAGAGTTAAAATTTTGGTTACTCAGCCAGTGTTCCAGGGCCCAGTATACCCACTATTTTTTTCTGAAATTCAATACCAGCAAACAATTTCACATAAGATGAAAAAAAACAAAAACTTAAAGACATCAATAATTGCATATATTGTTGATATTTATCTTTTAACTCTAACACTATGACTGTTGGATTTCCTAAACCTGTCCCTCATTCTCTGAGATATCGCCTGTACATTTTTAGAAAGTCTTTCTCTTGAAAAGTATCTTGCCAGATTGTTTGAATAAAAAATCTGTTTTTTATCTTTACCCAATAAGCAATTATATGTTGAAAGTTTGAAAAAGAAAATCCCCTATAACATTTACTTTTTTTTAAATAAAGACAAAGCAAACTGATCCAGACCTAAACACAATACGAGCATAAGTTTGTTCCTGCCAAATTAAATTGAGTTCGCCTCGGAAGTCACTTCATTAGAAAACAGGGTCCCTATTATATACCTCTAATACAATCTGTATGCATATAGATGTGAATTTATGTGTGTATCTGTGTGCATGTGTCTGGCCAATGTCGTCATGGTTGCTGAGGTCCGACGCCAGGATTAATCAGTCTGTCCAGTAACGAAAGAAAGGAAACAAAGGAGCTGCTGAAGTTCAGGTAGAAGAGGAGTTGGATATTTAGCCCATTTCAGAGGTCTAGGCCTAAACATCCACATTAAAATTTTGCATGACTTTTTCTTGGTCACTCATATAAAATAATTAAAGAATACATTAGACTTTCTGGTTGTAGCCATATAAATACCAACAAGCATCATTTTTGTATTAAAATGTTTAAGCAGAAGGAAAAACAATTGTTCAGGAAGAGAGTGTAATTTTCATTTAGTTTCTAAATGTAGCAAAACACACATATTTAGTGAAGCATTTGTTATAAAATGACAATAGTTTTAATTAGTGGGCTATTTTAAATCTGATCTTACTCAATGAATTGAATTGCCAAAGGTTTACAGCAGGATGCATGTCGGCTTATACGCAAAACCTCTGTTATTTGTCATTGCATGTTTTGGCAAATGATTGAAGGAAAAACATCCAATTATGATCCTCTCTCTGTAGACAAACATGTTGTGATTCTAGTAGAAAAATCCATAATGTTAGGCTTATGCAATCCCTCAGAGGAGTGATCCTGATTATCTGCCTGCGTGATGGGATGAACCTTCACCAGCAAGCCCAAAGGGGAAAGTAGTTTTTATTTGCCAAAACAATGTCACTGAACAATCAGTCAGCATTACTTCAAAAGATAGTACCCTTTGCCATGTTGTCCCAGTGACCGATCATTACCACCTTTGAATGATAGTTTATAATTTCGATTATTTGGTTGTCTATTGTTGATAGTTTTATTAAGAGCTTGTCAATCCAGCTTGGAAACTTTATTTGAAGTCAAATTTTAAAGAAAAGCTTGAGCATAGTTGTTTTTATGTACAATCTCTTTATGTTCCAGTGTCAATATTTACTGCTGACCTCGTGAGCATGGATCTGTGCACGTCAAGTAGGGTCACCCACTGTTTGTGTAATCTTTTTCAAATTCTTTTTTATTTATGTGGTCAATGTGTCAATGATTAACCCCTTATGAGGCCAGATCTCCATACAAATACGAGTGCCTCACAGAAATCTCATAAGAAGAAATCCTAAAGCTGTTTGATGTACTTTTAAGAAGCTCTACTACAAAAGCAATGCTTGAATTTTCTGAGAAGCTGACATTTGTTGCGGCAGTAGCTCTGGCTGTCCTGGCTTTGGGAGGTTCGTCCCCGGTATTGGTGCCTGAGCCTATTCGCTGCGCTCCGTGTACACAACAGATGCTGAGCAACTGTCCCGCACTCTCTGCTGACTGCAAGCAAGTGCTGAGAGAACCAGGCTGTGGTTGCTGCATGGCTTGTGCTCTGGAGAAAGGAGCTTCCTGTGGGGTTCACACAGCCCACTGTGGTGAGGGTCTACGCTGCACTCCCAGGCCAGGTGAGGCCAGACCACTGCATGCCCTGACCAGAGGACACGGAGTGTGCACTGAAGATGTGAGACAAGGTAGGCTTAGGAATTCTTTTTGTGAATGTTTTTTTTCAGCTTTTGAAGAAAAATTATGAGAGCTGATGTCTGCAATGCATTTTTCAAAACCCCTTTAGAGGTAGCTGATGAAGTCCAAGAACATGACTCTGTGCACTACCTTTTGGGACTTAATCTTCCATCTGATCACCAAGACGCTGCCGAGGGCCGTGAGAGTTTAAAAGCAAGAGTTAATGCTATTCGCAACAAACTGGTACAGCAGGTGAGGCAATGCATCAGTCTGATTAAAGAAGACCTTCTTGATACACAAGAAAAGAGTAAACCTATAGATAATCTTAAAAAAAAAAAGTATAGTTGGATTAAATAGGGGATAGACAAATAGGGGGTACAAATGTTTCTGCTTCTTCTTTCAGGGTCCCTGTAATATTGAACTGCACACAGCACTGGACATGATTGCCAGTTCTCAGCAGCAACTGGGTGATAAGTTTACAACATTTTACCTCCCAAACTGTGACAAACACGGCTACTACAAAGCCAAACAGGTTACTATTTTTTGGGTTTCATTCCAGCACAAAAGCAGGTATTTGTGTAGGAATATATGTGACTCTGCTTGGTTTTATGTTATAGTGTGAGTCCTCTCTGGTTGGGCCGCCTGTTCGCTGCTGGTGTGTTTCATCTTGGAACGGGAAGAAGCTCCCAGGATCCAGTGACCTTCTTGCTAATGCACAATGCCATCAAGAAGCCACTCTTTAAGATATGAACTAACATAAGAAATACATAAATGTATTAAGTAACTTTAATTTTAGTTAAATATGTAAAACTGACCTAATGTACAAAGAATTTTTAATCATGTGAGGCAAAATGGCCACCTATTTTATGAACATCATGCAAAACATTATTTATTCTTTCCTTGTATATTCTTGAAACAATTATCAACTTGTCTTTTTAAGAGTTATACATTTTTATTTTTAGCTGACTGAATAACTCCATTACTCAAAACAAGTCTGCACCTCAGCCAAACTAAGTATGCTTTGTTATAGCCAAAAACGGCGCTACCATCACGGGTCGTTTATCCAAAGTGTTGATGTTTTCTAAATCTCTGTTCAGGTATTCAATGAGGATTCCCAAAGGGATTCACATTTGCTAACCAGAAGTATAAAAGGGTTATCCAAGACACTGCACATTTCAATATGCACTGCATATTTGTCTACCTCTGCTTGCATCTGCAAGTTATTTGCCTTTGTGACCAATGGTTGCAAAGATTCTTGTATTTATTTGCTTGTGCATTTTAATGTAATGTCATAAAAATATATGCAGTGGGCTGGATGGAGTGTTATTTCTGAAATGTTGCTATGCTGTTAATGCATTTTCTAATAAAGCATTGTACATAGTACTCAGGGATGCTTATTGATACGCTTCATAAAGTTGAAACTATTTCAATGTGTTTAATTTTTATGACTAGGGTGAAAAATAAGACAGAATTCACCTATATTTTTAATGCCTTTATTAAGTAAAAATAGATTTCAGTTGCTGTACTGTACATGCAAAAATACTTTTGCTAGGAAAAGCATAAAACAAAACCTGTGGCTTTTAGAGAAATTGATCATGGCAGAGGCCTTAATCTCAAGTATTTGAGTTTTGCACACAACGTCAATAATAGAAGTGATAGTCACAGTTGACATAAAAAATAGTTTTTCTATCTGTGGCTTAAGATCCAGCATAGCAATGCATGGTGGTGTTTGAGCTGCACAAGGTCATTGTAATCAACTAAAAACAATGAAAGTAATACAAATAGGCATTTATAGTAAGGCACTGCATGATTACATTGAACAGCAAATTCATACATACAGACATTTTATGCTCACCTTATCCACATATAAGGTTTTTCAAAATTACAAGCATACAAATAATGATTACAAAACAAAATGTATGTACACTTATGCGATGCCACAGAATTGTGCGTAAAACGAAGAGCTAAAACATCGCCATTCTTCTTCTGGTGTGCTTCTTTTGTATGTGTGTTTCCTGATCGGTTTAAGGCATTTGAAATTAATTCTAAAGCATATAACTTTTCCAGAAGCTGTCCAGGTGGTAGTAAGAAATAGGAGCTTATTGTCTGTGCGTAGCACAAATTCCAGGACTTTCCTCTCGGTACACTTTCTCTGCACCCTTTTGCTCTGCCTCAATGAAAAAGGGTCCCACAGGCAACAGATAGAAAGAGCAAACATCCATATATCAGCAAAGCCATCTCTTGACCTCTCCTCCAATATCCTTAGTGTATCTATTTGTTTACAGTTCTTTTTGATCACTCGCAAACTCCGTCCCTCTCTTTCCAGCCTCCTTCACTCCTATTGGCTCTCGGAATTGTAGCGCTGGACTCCTTGATCCTTCCCATCAAACCCTGGCAGAGGCTGCCCGTATTTGTCCACACACCAACAGATGCCTCGCTTTCTGCCTTTGGACGGACGGCACTGCAAGTATACAAAGAGAAAAATTGATGGGGGACAAAAAAAAATGCAGGAGGCCTTGCCAAAATAAAAAAATATTAATTATTCAAAGCATCTCACACCTATGAAGTAAAACAGCATAGTTAAGACGCATTAATGCTTAGACTGCACTGAGCCCATGCAACCTTAGCCATCCAACGCACTGTGGTATTTTGAGCTGCTAATTTTACGGTCCACCTCCTGTTTCAGACACGTATGGAGACCTTTAAGGTAAATAGAACCATAGTAAAATATTTACTTAGTCCCGTTTGTGAACAACTGTGAACCAGAAATCTATTTTCAGAAGCTCCTGGCCAGAACGAATCATCTGTTGCTGATTATACCCCACAGCTCCAAATTATGGGTACTACAAATGACTTACAGAGTCTGTGGAGCTACCCAAGGGCTGTTATTTTACTGCCAATTTTACTAAAGGTTAACCTCCACTCCAGTCAAACATGCAGCCATTCATTTCAAGGGCTAAAGCAACTGTGCCATGGCTCCTCTGGCTGGTTGAAGCTGATCAGAAGGGAGATTTTCTTTTTTTTAGTTTAATATTTTAGAAAAAAATAACTGAAATGATCAGTTTCTTAAGAATAATTTTCTATTAATGTTTAATCAGTATGCAAGAATACATTTTTTAATAAAGCTGCATAATAGGAAAATGATGAAAACTTGCATAATCTAGGAATGAAGTATTTTTTTGTGAAAATTGTTCTTTTGGTGATTTGCAACAGTTATCAAAGCTGTGATTAGACATTGGCAGGTTACCCTTATCAACCTAGTCTTTATGCAAAGCTGCTTGAAAGGCTTTGATAAGTTCTAAAAGGTATATTATGTATACCGATATGGATACCCCAATCATAGAAGCAACTCATATCAGCTGTTTGTGTAACAGGAAAGCCAATAGGAAAAACAAAGTATGATTTTCTTTGCAATTAGCACTTGAAACATACCATTTACTGCTTTTTCCTCAAGTCTATGAAAAACAAAGTCGCACAATTGTTTTATCTTGGAATACTGCGCAAGTCTGTAAATAAAACGGCACAATATTTGTAAGTAACAACTACTGTTTTAATAAATGTCGGTAGGATGTTTTTTTACTGCCATTATTAAAACCATTAAACTGTGTGTCCTGCGCATAGCTTTCCAAAACTATAGTTTATGCACATGATTTTATTTTTTATTAAATCTGTATTTTGTTTTGTCTCACAATGTTTAACCTTTTTCAGTTTTTTCCAGGTTTTCACAGTGAGAAAGACAGACTGCTGTGGATCGAACTTCTTCATTTTTAATGCTCTGAGTGATGTGCTCATTTGAACACAAGTGGCTTAGCAAAGCTTAAAAACTTGCCATCACTTTAAAAACAAAGCATTCCGTTTTCTGAAACAGGAAAACAAGTTTTACTCAAAGTTGTCTAAATTTATTTAATTGGAACAAAAGCCAAATTATTAATGTGATTTGTCCAAAAGGATGGTAAAGTTAATCTTGCACTAAAAATGACCTTTCAACACTAGGAAGCATTATAATTAAATAAGTCATATCAGAAATGGATTAAAAATCCTAATCACACTATAACTAAACAGTGGTGTAATTCATCAGCTTTTGCAATTTGTTTGGGTGATGATATCAGGAGTGTAATAAGAAATAGAACCGCATGATCTACATCCATTTAATGATTAACGATTTAAATATGAATAGAAATAGAATCATAAAACACTTTGCAATGTTGACAAACATTGTATTATTTTCAACGTTTGTCAATATTCAATAAAGGTGACAAAGTAATCTATATACGGTAACTGGATATCTGACTGAATCCATATATTAATGTGAACAGATTCATTGTTATCATCCTATTACTTAGTACAAATGTATTAATCAAGATGTCATATATTAGCATCAGCAGGAACAATAATTGCTTCATTGTTTTTAAAATCTAATTAGATCATCTTAAAGTCCCTTGGTTTGGAGAAAATAAACTGTTTTATTTTTACTGAAGGCTATGATGTCTTGAGACTCAGACCAACAAATACCCACCTATACCAAAAGTTAATTTGACTTAATATTACACATGTCTCAGAGCTGAAATGCTAAAACTGATAGGCCCTCCAGTTTCTAAGTGTAACATATGAACCCGCTATGGTAGACCTGTATTAAGACGACTGCAGGCCAGGCAGAGGGAAGAGGGGTTGATGTGCAAAAAGATAATCTGTTTTGATGATACAGTTGAGATGGAGCCCCAAAGGTCTCCATGTGAATCCGTCAGAACTGCTCATTTATTACAGCCCTATCGTGGGTGAACCAATTGAGGCGGGGACGGCTGCAACTCTATTTCTGTGTCTTCTTCTCAAAAGTCCAGCAATTATGGGGCAAGTACATGGGGTGCCAGTGGCCACCTTGACGTCTGTCTCCCTGGGAGGGGAGGTAAGACAACCGTCGTCCCAGCCATCAGCTCTGCTGGGGTTTTGGCCCCTGTGGTTTGTATTTCCAGAGCCAGTGGCTACAGTCTGCCTCACTGGTGTGGTGTAGTGACGAAGCTCTAATAACTACTGATGTAAAACAAGAGGACAGCAGCGAGGCTGTAATTGGGAGGCAGAAAACCTAAAGTTTGAGTCACTGGAGTAAAACATTTAATCACTATTAAATTGTAGGAAAAATAAAAAAGCTAATTTTCAGTGACTAGATTTTTAAAGCTGCAAGATGTTAAGCCGGCAAATCATTTAATAAGGAAACATGATCAGTGAATAAAATGCAGAATTGAGGGTAATTCTTGCTATCTGTACCTGTTTTTTCCTATAGAAGCCTTTCTTATCACAGTTTGGGATGCGGAAACCTCTGGGGTTCAGGATGTTAATGATTTTCAAGGTGCTGAGAATGTGCTCAATCTCTCTCCGACATGGACCCTGAAACAATGAGAAGAAAGTTTAGTTGCTTTTTTCACACCCAATAAATTGTCTCAGCTTTCTAAAGAAAAGTGCATACTGTTCATGCTTTAAGCACATGCACATCATTTTGTGCATCACTAATGGCCTGTGAATAAACTAAATCTGACTCACTTTGCTGTGCACCCTGCTCTGCTCTAATACCTTAACAATGGAGGCGGCAATATAAAAGAGGCAGCATATAAAAATTGTATTCAACTGACTTGAAGAGGCTTAACAGTTTGCAAAGCTGCTTAGAACTCTTACGTGTAACACAAAGGATAGGGGATAAATTGAATTAAAACAGCTAACGGATTGAGCAAAAAGGCCTGTTCTCAAGTCCAAGTACTTCAGTCACTAATCAGAGAAGCCAGTCAAAGCCCATTACTAGAGTGTGCTCACTTCTCTGGCCAAAGCAAGATGAAAATAGCAGCAGGGTTTCCCATCAGGCTCTCACATCAGCCAGTCCATCATTTGCTGGCTCTCACAGCACCCGGCACGCGGACGCCTTGTGGCCAAACAACCGCCTGACCTAGGTCAGCCGCAGAACCGTGGTACACGCTTGTTGCCATGTCACTCTGCTGCACCAGATCGCTGCCAGCCATCGGTACTGCTATCCAAAACATTTCATCACCCGCAGCAGGAAGAGAAAACACCAAAACACAGAGGAGGGGAGAAAAACATTCCTCCAGTGTGTTCAAAAGTCAGAAAAATGTTTGCGGTACTTACATACTCAGACTCCTGTTTGGTTTCTAGAGAGATGTTTAGTTGGTCTTTGATGGTTGGTCCTGGGAGATCCTCCATCTTAAAGTTCTGGGTTGCCTTCTGTTGTTCCCATCTGATGGCATTTGACTTTGCAGAGTCAAAGTAGGGATAAAGCGAAGGCCTAGGAGGTGCAGGGTTACAGGAAGTTTCGAGATGTCGGCTGGATGGTTTTCCCTCCTTATCCTTAGAGTCTGCCAAAGTTTAAGAACATTGTGTTTATTTCAGACATTCAAGATATCGAGTGGAATGGTTTTCACATATTTTATAAGAAACGGGTAAACCCAGTTAGTTATAGGATTTTTTTTCCAGTGTTTATTCGCACGTTTTTCAGATAACCTAGGTCCAAAATGTAAAAAAAAATAATAAATACAGAATAAAAATTGTAATCTAAAAATCTGCTTCGACCTAAAAATGTTAATAGAGCAGCTGAGGTAGGTAAACAACTAAAACTGTAGATATCGCCTTAAATATATTATGATTGGGAATTAAATTTAATTTTGTTTCCTTTACAATGCCCAATCTAACTGTGTCATAGGTTTGTGCATACATGATGGCAAATCAGCTTGTACTAAATAAAATGATCCTCTTGCCAACTCTCAGAGTGATAAATAGCTTTTTTTTTTATGTTTATCCTTCTGCCTTGATAAATCTCAATGCAGATAAGAGAAGTACCTCGAGCAAAAAAAAACAAAAAACAATTTTCCTGTTCCTGTAATGGTTGTTCTAAATACTGCCAATTATTACAATTCCAATAGGAGCATGCTACTATACCAAAGTGCAAGGTTTAAATGTTTATAACATCAGACATCTAAGATTGCTCTACTTTTATTGCTACTTTTTAAATACTGATTAGAGCTTATCATTTGCAATTATCTCACTCTACATCATTTAAGGGTCAAGGTCAATCTTCAAGGTTTGGACATCAGACAGGAAATTATTTAATTCATAAAGAACTAAAGTAATGACTTTTTTTTCTTAATATAAACAGCTATTTCATTGACAAATCTCATGAAGTTCTTAAAAGAAAAGCAAACCAGATCGGTACCCTGTGATGTACAATATAAAACACAAATATGGGTCAAGGTTTGTTAAAAGGTCCGATTAGATCCCCTCCAACTACAAGGGAATGCACTGTAAATGGCTCAATCAAGCAATATAAGGGAGCTGTCCATGGCCAACTGTCCTAAAATAATTACATGTTCACTCATTAACAACATTGATGATAGTTTTGAGATGAAACACCAGTTTATAAAAAGACACCTTTATTGTTTCAAGGTCTGTTTAATTGCAGACCTGGCACTGTCCAGTACAATAATCAATAATGTTCCAGCATTTTCCAAATTTAGCTGTAGATAACTGCTGCTCAACTACTGCTTTATCCTCGCAAAAACATTATTTCAGAAGATCATTAAGAAATTATCAAAAAGAATCAAGAAAAAAAAACACGAAAGCATAATTAAAGAACTTTAATGTAATTAAAAAAACTAGAGCTTTTTGGATAGATAGATAGATAGATAGATAGATAGATAGATAGATAGATAGATAGATAGATAGATAGATAGATAGATAGATAGACAGACAGACAGACAGACAGACAGACAGACAGACAGACAAGATCTTTTACTGTAATATTTTTAAGTAGCCATAAAATTGCAAATTTTCTACTGAAATAAGATAAAAATATTTTAATCTAAAACAGGCTTAACCGATCAAAAGCAAATTGACTTTGCAATGTGCCCCAAATTATAGCAACTCATCATATCATTAAGTTTGATTTTGTTTTATTAGACACATGTAGTGGCCCTTATTGTCAGATACATTTTCCTTTGACCTGGGGTAAATTTGAGCATTTTTAATACTGAGTCTGAGCAGATCTTTGGTAAGAAAGTTACCAACCCTGCAGAAACATAACATAAACATCCAGGCATATTTACATTGGAGCACAACATCACCTGGCATTTCATTGACCGGCGGTGTGGATGTAGGTCTGACTGACGGCTGCCTGTTCGTTGAGTTCACGCAAACACCACGACCTTCCAACAGAGCCTGCAGAGGTTTCGTTTCACCTGGCTGATGCTGACAGGTCAGCCCTGAGCTGCATCTCCTGGTGTAAACTCCGCAGGGCTGACCGATGCTCAGGGCGCAGGTCATGCAGCAGCCGCAACCCGGTTCCCGAACTCTTTCGGTGCAATCCTTGGGTAAAGGTTTGCACAAAAGCCGCGCTCTGATGTCGCACGGCTCGCATCTGATGACCGGCCCGATCGCACCTGACCTGCGGGTTAACGATGCCACTAGAAAAGTCATGCAAAGTGCTACAAAAAAGGAATCCATGGTGATGAGAGAGAGAAAGAGAGAGAGGGAGAATGTGAGCTGCAGAGAGGAGGCGCACAGTGGTCAGCCTCACTCATTCACATCCAGCCTACAGACAAAACATCTCAATATATAGACCCCAATGACTGTAGTCACACCCCCGGAGGACTTGTGGCGCACTGCTGAATAGCTTCTGCACATTATAAGGGAGTTTGCTTTAGTTTTTGTCAGAGATACTGAAAATGTTATTTATAATGCATCCTTTAAAAAATAAATTACACTATAGGGAATTTATTTTCTTTATTAAAAAAAACAGTAACTCATTGACAATAAATATGTTTGATCTAATAAAAAGATAATATTTGTGAACTTATTTGAAAATGGATAAATGAATATAAATATATAACGCTCCATGTTTCCACACCGGAGTCTATGCATTAACCATATTCCCTCTTATTTAATACTAGGGGGCGCTGATGAGCCATGTGTCAGGAATTATGTAACATTTTGAATTTGACACACCTGCAGTATTACTGTAAATAGATAATAAATAAACTTACATATACAGCTTTTTCCTTCTCTCTCCATCTTCTCTCTTGTGAACTCCCTGTTCAAACAAGGCACACACAAACAGTTGCTTACGTACACACCTAAGTAGTTCAAACTTTATTCAGCAAGCCCTTTAAAAGAACATAGGGCAACTAAAATGCTGCTCAGGTGAATCAAAACACAGCAGGGTATAATCATAATGATAAAATCATTATGCAATAACATCATAAAACAATACAATAAACAATATAAAGCAAAAGCCTTTCTGTTCATGTTCTCACAAGTTGAAAGTTGGAGTGAAAATAAACATTTTGAAAGATATTTAAGTTCTTTGAGATTATTGACAGACCTTACAGAAGAGGGACTGTTCCAGAATTTAGAGGCTGCAGCTGAAATATCTCCCGAGTCACAAATCAAGTTCTTTGAACCTCTAAGTGCAATTGACCTTCACCTCTCAGAGCAATACAATGATGATAACACTGTAGGATCTCAGAGAAATAAGAAGGTTCGATATTATTGCAAGAACCAATTTAAAAAAGAAATCTATTAAAGAGAAAATCTGGTGGGCATGAATGACCCTTTCAAAGGCATGGGAGAAAAATAAGGATTTACTTTTTTAGTTAGCGGGAAGATAAAAAAAAAAGATAAAGATAAAAAGATTTTAAAAAAAGAAATTAAAAAAATTGTCATTATTGTCATTTCTGATCAGCTTTTTACAGGTTTCCTCTGGGATTCTGATTACCTGTATTTGATGATGACCTTCAAGAGTTTAAGAGCAACACACAAAGTAGCCTGTTGGAAGCTCCATCTTATGCTGAATTTAACCAAACTCAGCCTCATCCAGTGGTGTTTTTTATCACTGTGGCATGAACAACAAACCCAGGCTGTTCTCACAAACATTTAATGGGGCTGATGTTGATGATTCTATTCTTTCTGCTCCCAAATTCTGGATTTACACAAATGCTCTGCTCAGCATCAACTTTTCAGCAGAAAGAGTTATGCTCCTAATGTTGGAGCTAGAGGATTTACACTTGGTGAAGAAGCCTATCATGATATCTTTTTGCCTTGAGATGGTCTTTAATGATGACAAGTCTTTTTTTTTTCTTTTTTTTTACAGAGGGATATGCCGCCCAATACCATCTCACTGCCTCTGCCAGTAGCTGTCTCTCCCTGGCCAAACGGATTTGGCAAGCTTCTCTTGGGTGCAGCACTCATACTTAGCTCTGCAGCTCAACCCACAAATACATTTTTCACATTCTAGCCACTTTAAGGGGAGATAAACATGTCTTTCAACTACTGTATACAGAAAGTGCTAAAAAAATAAATAAATAAAGTGTAAAATCACCAAAAACTGATTTCTTTTCTTCCTTGGGCTAAATGTATATAAAAGGATCCCACAAAAAATCTATATATTTAAAATGGACATAAGGAGAACACAAATATCTGTACCCTCATAACAGCACTGAGGAAATAAAATCTAAAATTAAATTAGCTGTAATGGATATTGAATATGACATAATAAAGAAGGAGCTTCCAGTCTGATTACCGGTAGTTTTTTTGTACCACAGCAAAAATCTACCTAAGAGTACAAATAGAGTAAAACTAAACATGATCAGGATAAGCAAATGTTTTATTTGTATATAGGCATGTGTAGGTTTGGACAAACTTGGGCTGTTGTATGGCAACAGCCTTTTTCTGTAAAGGTATTTTATTTTCTAATCAATCAAGTGCTCAAAAAATTCGATATTTATTAGACAATATAAGAAGAGTAGTTGTTAAGACATGAAATAAATGTATAAACTATCTAATCAAAAACATACAATTTTGGTATATTTTGGACAGCTAAATTTAAACATAGAAAATGATTTTAGTTTACGGAAAAAGATAAAACTTTCTTTAATCCAACAAGACAGAACATCTCAGAAATGACAGAATATTTTATTTCTTTATATCATGTTTCTTTGTACTGTAAAAATAGGCACCTGGTCTTTTTGCTATTTACACACACATCTCTATTAAGTTACATCACGTAACAAGCTTTGTTCAGCTCATTTGTCTGTGCTAAATAACACACCTTAAAATAAGGGTCTATACTGCACAAGTGAGTGAGAAAATGCCTGGGTACATTGGTGGCATTCTTTAAGGCCACTAATAAATGGTCACAGACGTCTAACAATACCCCGCACAAAATGTCCCCAAGACTTAAATAGAAAAGCAGCACTAAATAGAGGTGCAACATTAGTTGTTTGTTTTTTTTTTTTTATCTTAAAATGTATTGGAAGTCAAATATGTTGCCAAAAAGCTCTGGCATACTTCCATCTGTTAACAGAGAGGCCTACAGCAGAGCAGGGTTTATGGAATGCTAAACATTTGTTTCATATGCTAAAAAAAAAAATGATGATTTTCCTCCCTTGCCTGCATTCTTAGCTCCTCTGAATGGGCTCTCTCAGCCACCTGTGCATATTCGACATAGCAGAGGAGAGCAAGAGTAATGTAGTGGAGGAATGTCATCCTGCAGAGCAGCCACTCAATAAAAAGAAAGTGTGAAGAATGTGGTTTTGTGGACACAGGATATTACTGTACATGTGTTTAACATAACCTGCTGTCAAAAGCTGCACCGTAACAGCTTGTCAAATCTTAATTCCGTGTAATTTTCCACTGCTTTAGGATAATTTGGGAAAATCAGATATACATTCTTGGAGCTTTGTGTGTTTGCTGTATTTGATCCAGCAGCCAAACTGTATTATACTGTCATCTAGCGTGCTGAAACCCTTTGCTAAATATAAGATAGATACTTAACTTTTTTTGTCAGCAAATGCTTTTTCAATTACGCAATTGAAGTGGAATGAAAATGAAAAGAAACCAAAGAACATAACTTAAGACAGTATGTTTTGAAGGGGAATTAAACAAGAGGACAAGTTTACTAAAGAAAATGAAAAATAAGCTGCTAAAAGGCTCAAAACGCCAAGAAAATAGCTGTAATCTGAATTTAAAGTGCAACCCTGAATGCTGGGCATGGAGCAGTTTTAGCATTATTTATGGCCTATTAAAGCGGTTCTCATTTTCAGGGAGTTGCCTTTTTTTTTATATATAGATAAAAGAAATTAGCTCTTTCAAAGCCTTTACGACATTACTGCTACAAAATGCAATAATCCTAGATGCAGTAGCATGGTAGAGGCAACTGTGAATACAGTTGGGCCATAAAACAACTATAACTAGGTGCTTTTTGCAAGACTCCAAACAGTACAGCAAATAATAAATAGAAGAGTTGTCAAAGAACGACCTTATTTAGGCATGGATCGTTTTTAGGAGTAATACATTTAATTATAATTGCTTTGAATGGAAACTCATTAGGCAACATTCCACAGCTGAGCAAAAAAGATGATAAGTTAAAATTTGCTGTACAACATTTAGATTAGTCAGTTAGAACTGGAAGAATATAGTCTTCTCACAAAAGATAAAAATTGAGAATATTACTACACATTTTATGTTTGGAGAAAAAAAAACTCAAATACCTCCAAAATGCATTACCAACAGTCAGGTTAAAAAGTAAGATTATTATTTGGGTCTTTTTTTTACGGCATATGGTACAGGCGTTCATATGACTGACAGATATGAAGAAATGTACATTTTTGGTTAAAATCTTAAGGTATAATAAGGGTTGAGGTTTTTGTTTGCATACAGCCTTAATGTTTATTAAACTAACTCACTGTTAGGCCTCAGGATCAGTAGCAAAATGGCTTAAGGAAGAAAAACTCAGTCTGTCAGAGGTCAAAGAAATATCTCTGTTTTCAAACTAGGAGAACTTGTGTGTGCATGTTTGTCAGGGACTGTGTGTCCTGTGTGTGTGTGTGTGTGTGTGTGTGTGTGTGTGTGTGTGTGTGTGTGTGTGTGTGTGTGCATAACTTTCCAGAAAAAAATAAATCTATGTAGATTCTTAGAAGTAGGGATGACTGTAGAGGTCAAGTGTCTCTGCCTGGTGAGGGAGTGCGGTTAGAACATGTATAAAGGTGCACTGAAGTAAGAAAGAATTGAAGGTTAGCAAACGGATCACATGGCAATGTCTGGTTCATTTGGTGCCCCTCCACAGTCAGTCCCATGACTCTAGCTCAAATAATAATTCATGTCTGAGGGCCTTTTTGTGACACTCATCTTAGATGAATTGGAAGGAAGCATAGGTGCGCATTGTGATTAATAACATAATCTTTTCTCTTTGATTCGACTCTGACTAGCAGCCATAACTTCAACAGTTTTCTTATTATCAGAGGCCAGAGGCCACCTTTCATCCTGTTCCAAGGGTGGTTAATCATTTTTGGAGCGCTGTGGTTATAGAAGTGCCACGGTCCCCATTTCTACAAGCTTGGCCCCCCCAAGGCACTCCTAAGCTGTAATTAGGCCAGAGTGGAGGGGTGTGTGAAGCTAGAGGAACTCCCAGCATCCAGAGATTGCTGAAAGTGGCGCCACTCTTTTTTTTTGCCTGGAGTCCTGCCTCTATTCAGCCAAATTACAAGCATTTACACATTCACTATACAACTATTTCTATTTTGACAAAAATAAAACAATGAAAGCATTAATGGGAAACTGCAGTTAATAATTTAACACAATTTGCAACCCAAAAATGTATCATTGTTACTCCTTCAAGCATTTGTAACCTACAGTGGATGAAATATATATGACTTTTATGTGCTTTTGCACTGTAATCATCCCACCCCCAGCAAGTTTTTTCACATCCAAGTAAAGCAATAATATATGTGGAGGGGAGAAAGTTGCAGACATTGCAGTGCTTCATCTAATCTATGACAGAGATGTTATCTGTGGCTGAGAAAAGGATAAATATTTATTCTGGTAAAATATCATTATAAAAAACAAAACAAAAAACAAACAGATTTTTTTGATACCCATGTTGAACTTCTTAAATGTTTGGGAGTAGTTACAAGTACCATTAATCTATAACTTCACTCAGCAAATACCATAAGTGTTGCCCTTCAGCATGAAAACCATAAACCTCAAGTCCAGGATTCTTGTTAACGTTTAGGAATTTCTTTAGCTTATCTGATCGCACTGCAGAAACTTGATCAACCTTAGTAAAATTACACTGTGCACCACATTGTACAGTATGCGACATCAGAAGGGGTAAATTCTATAGGTCTCTTCTACAGAATCATAAGACCGTGTCACCATTTAGAGCTGCACCATCCAAACATCCACAGTGAGAAGCACCAGGTATATGTGAACTGTACAATTCATCAACCTATGTTTAATAGGTCACATATTTAAACTTGGGACTTAAATATAATAAAAACTCAAATGGTTTTCAGATATTATCTCAATGTCCTCTTGCATAATTGCGAATTTTCTTGTTTGCTTTCATTTTCCTTTTCGCATAACAAAGCGGGGGCCTCATTTTCTGTGTCTGGCCCAAAGTGAACTTTCTATTTTTGTCCACCAACCTTTGTTCTGCCTCAAATGGAACTGATGAGCCCTGCCCTTCTAATTAAGTGTCCCAAAAAAGTCCTGCATAGCTCAGTGCTCGAGGAATGACAATGGGTGCTCTCAGTCTAATAAACAAGACCTCTAAACTCTGCATTAGTTCCAATAAAAAAGTTGAAAAGACTGCAGAAAAGCTGGGAAGTTAATTTGAAGGATGTTGACTGTATGTTAGTTTAAATTAGTGTCTCTGAAATGTCTTTTGATGGGTCAGGACTGCCCAATAATATAAGTTATCATGCTAAAAGCTGCAAACATTTGTTTTGCATTAATATGAGCCATAGTTAACAGAGGTATCCTAAAGCAGATATTACACTAGTTAATGCAAATAGGTGCCTAGGATTTGTATATACACTGTAGATACAAAATGGCAATAAAAGTTGTCTAAGTCTAAAGTAACATTTCTTTACTGTTACTTCTTAACATGTTTGTAACCCTGAGATATTAATTTCCATGTTTTATTTCAAGTAAAGTATTTTTAAGCGGAATTATAATGCTTGACAGTTTGTGAAGACAAAATCAGATGTCTAGTTTTAGACATATAGAGAACACAATGAGTTCAAGAGGATGCTTTAGTCAAATGAGAACCAAATTGTACCTTTTGGCCTATATGCAAGATACTACGTATGTGTGGGAGAAACACTGCATGTGTCCTGGAACTCAACACAACTGCACAAAAAGATGGGAGCAGATGTGTCAACAGTTTTAGCAGCAGAGATATGAGGATAAGTTGGAATTCATGATAAATGAGGTTCAGTCCTAAGAGAAAACCTGTTTAAGGCTGCAGAGATCTGGGATTGGATTATAACCCTCTAACAGGGCAAAGCCCTAAACATTCCTCAGACCTACAATTGTTGGAATTGCCCAAGCAAAGTTTTGCCCCTAATCAGATGAAGAAGCTATTTCAGACCTTAAAAATTTAATACTCTCCATCCGATCTAATGGAGCTAGAGGAAGAATGAGAGGAAGAAAAGAGGAAGAATGAGCAAAAGTTTCAGTTTTAAACTGCACAAAGCCATTGTAAACAAATGTGGAGGTTCCACAAACCCTTTCTCCTCTAATTCATAGTTATGCACCTTTTTCTGTCAGTCTGTCAACTTAAATCTGTTAAATGAAAACGGGCAGAACTTGTGGTTAAAATTTGAAGGGATATTTATACCCTCACACATTGGCATTCTCAGAGCGATTACCCTCCCTCCTGACATGTTCCTCTTTGCTTCAGTGGTGTTATTTTTCAGTCTGGACTTTCCCCACCTTTTATTTCCAGACCACCTCACTCTAAATAACAGAGGAAGGGCTCTACAGTCACCACACCACACCTGGGCCACAGCATCCTCCCAGCCCTCACCGGGAATTCTTTCACCACCTGCAGAGAGGCATTAGTGAGAGGTGGGAGGCAGGAAGTCCACCCTGTAAGAGTTTTTCTGCACTTTGAAAGCTCAACTCTGCAATTTAATCTTCCCAAAAGCATTTTTTAGTAACTTGTATGGGCATGTGAATAGCTAGTATACATATTTTAGTGCACTTCTGACAGAGATTTGGTATTAATGATGCACTAAAAGAAGAGGCAATGTTTCATGTTACTGTATAATGATCAGCCCCTCCCCTACCCCCTAACCTGTGCTTATTCATAAATTTTAGCTGATGTTGCTAGTGTCCTCTGCTGGCTGTAGATTTAAGTTCTCTTCAGCTACCATGGGGCTGTAAAACTAATGCAAAAGTACTTATAACGGTCACTCCACTACATTTCAAAATCAAATATTGTACTTTCTAGTCCATTTTGAGGAAGATGCCAGTTACTTGTTCCTTTTGGCTCAGCTTGGCGTTGTATTCCAGTGTTGCTGTTTTTCTTTATTGAAATGCAATCTGAACATGTAAGATAGACTTGCTGAGACAACTTTTATCATTTTGTGTACACAGAGTGTACAAATTCAAACTTAAAACTTCTATTCCATAGTGAAAGTGGAAGGAGAATCAAGACACTCCTGTTTTCTTATTGGCCTTTTTTTAAATAAGGAATAATAACCAGCTGTCATTTCTTTGTGGCATTTTTATGCTGAAGTTCTTTATAGGTGCTGTAGAATCTGTAGTAGGTGGCTCTATGCATTAGTACATCAGGTGCTTCCTGAAATGTACAAGCTTCTTTAAAAATGCTCTGAAAATTATATAGAGAAATGCATCATTTAATTTGTATTTTTGAATACTTAACTACTTTTAAACACATGTACTTTTGAATAATTAGGTATTTTCAAATGTGAGTACTTCTGTAATTTAACTTTACGTTTGATCGAGTAGCTTTTACTTATAGTTTAGTAAGTATTTGACTAGGAGTATCAATACTTTTACTCAAGTACTACTGTTGTGTACTTCCTCCACCACTGCTGAAATTATATATCTGATCTTTTAATATTTCAATATTTCTTGTTGGGAATCAAGGTTTTTGACTAAAAAAGGCCAATACAAGCTGTGTTGAGATTAGTGGGAAGGATTTGAAATAAAAAACTTGAGTAGATTAAAGGAAAAAAAAAAATACAACTTTCATTAAGAGCTATAGATTCATACAGTAAAAAAAAGAAAAAAAACGCTATAAGATTCCTACTGAGCTACAGTGAAAAAAAAAGCAAAAACAAAAGCACAGACATATGGATGAAGCAACAATCAACATAACAAATCTTAAAGTTATTCAATAAATTCATACCACTCCAACTGAGGTCAGTTTTGATTTTTCTTTGCCTCACATCACATTAAATTTTTTTTTTTTTTTGGGTGGCGTACTTACAGTTTGAAAAAAATATATTTAGAAATCACCCAATGAAGCCAAACATTCATACCCAGCAGATATTGAGATATTTTTCATTCAACCTGTTGATAAGAAACAGGATGGTTGTCTGTAAAACGATACTAGAATCTGAGTAAATTAAAAAGGGGCTTCATTATTTTGAGTTGCATATGAAATATTGTCTATACTAGTAACTCCCGGCTGCCACTGTCCTGCATGCCTAAAATTAGTATTTGCAAACTTGATCACAGCACAATCTCCTCAGGAATCAGCTTCAATGTGGCAGATACTTGTTAAATGTTCATTCATTCAAATTTGGCATGTCAGCACAGAGACAGCTAAAACCTGTGAGATAGTGTTCCTTAAAAAACTTAAGATATGGAACCAGTGATTTATACTATTATTAGTAATCAATGGAGAAATGTTTTTTCTTTATTGACATCAAAGCACTCAAACTCATCTAATAATTTCAGTTATTGCTGTTTATTACCAGTGTTATTTTGGCTTTCTTTGGTGAAAAGTTCCCAGGCTTTATGATATAAAGGTACTTACCACTATTGTAATCTTAAGAGTCTTTTCTTTGGACTATTTTGTTAGTTTTACATTCTAATATATCCATACTCATCGTTCTATTTGGCTCATCTACAAAAAACATGAGATCTGAAGACAAACAACCTACATTGAGTAGCAGTCTTCTCTATAGAGTTTGAAATGTGTTTTGCTGAAATATGAACCTGCCTTTTTTCAAACAGATAACATGTTTTCCACTGTTTATTTACATCACACATCAAACAAAATAAAATGGATACACAAAAGAGCATGAAAAGTGTTTTTCACTGAAGAATAAAAGAATGAGATACATACATAAAAGGTAGAACTGTGTAAATATTTGATTTCAAGTGTAAATGACCATGATGCATATGACATACAAACACACATATACATATACTGTAAATCATGTAAACTTAAAACCAAATTTGTACATATCTATTGTAAAAAAAGAAAAATTTTTGTTCTTGGTGGCATCAAAAGAATAAACTTTTCCATTTTTATTTCTATTGGTTAAAAACAAGAAAATTGCAAGAAATAGAATATGTTTCAACTTGCTTGAAGTTTTGAGGTTTCAAAAACATCTTATGACACAAACCTGGCCCATTCTATCAGAATAACAGGTGCCAATTTGTGTCCAAGGTTCATCTTCCCTGCGATGATCTGAGATGTTGCCTTTATGTTATACACATTATATTTTCAGCAAAACAGGCTCACAACATGACACTGCCACCTTCCTACCCCAAAGTGTGTAATGGTTCATAACTCCTTAGAAGCTTCACCCTTTTTCCTTTAAAAGTATCATTTGTGATTATAAACAAACCCTCAAATTCTGTTGTCAGACTAGAGGAAATCTCTGAGTCAATTTGCAAACTGCTTTTCTTTTTTGCCAGTACCTGTGCAGGATGCATAACTGGATGATGATGATGATAATCTGCTACCAGCTTCATCTAGAATCATCACAAGTTCCTACAGTTCTTCTTGTGGGTTAATGTGAACATTTTAAACATTATCAAAGAATGCGGTTCGACATTATCATGGTGTTAATACTCACATATTGTTTGAATGGCTAAAGATGCCACCATTAGAAGAAAGTAATGGAAATGATCTGAAACAATTATCTCTGGTATTATTGTGGTGTTGAGCAAACTAACAAGTAGCGTGATTCTAAATTAACTAAAAGAGGAAAACAGTCTGATGAGTCAGACAGTGAAAAATAGCAGTTTTTTTAATACATTGTAAAAAAAAAAAAAAAAAAAAGGGTCACGTTCAACCGTTAATGCAACTGTTAATGCAACGCCACCAAAAGCTTTTCTATCACTGTAGGTCTCTCTCTGAATAGAATTAATAGCCAAAGCAAAAACATAGATAAAAACTGTTATCTCAAGTAATATAGGCTTGGATAATTCAGTTATTTTCTGAATCAATGAGCAGGTTTATGTCATTGACAGGTGACTAATGGAGTAAGGCAAATACATTGTATTTGTAAAAACTTCCAACACTGAACTAAATAGATATTTTACATTAGTTAGTAAAAGACTGACAGTGTTCTTTGAAAAACAGAGAAAGTCTAAACTACATATGTGATAGTATCTCAACAAAATAAAAGGTTAAAATCCAGCTGATTTTCATATGCATTAATCATCTACTACAGAAAAGCAGTCTTCTAACAATTTTTATGCCTGTTTGTGTTTATAAATATATGTATACATATATATTAGGGTTTAGTTGAGAGTTTTATACACAGCCTCTACATTTAATACAAAAAAGAATGTTTCCATTAAATCCCTATTAAAAAACATTGGTGTTCAAAAACATATTCAGAAGAACAAGATCTTAACATATAAAAGACAGTTCTATACGTGTGTATCGTACCATACTCAAAAAAATAGAAATAAAAATACATATATATATATATATATATATATATATACAATGCATAGACAAAACAAATGAACACTCCTGCTTACAAAATAAACAAAAGTGGTTCCAAAGACCAAATTATGCACAATTTGCTCATATATTGTGCTGTTTTTCAAATAATCAAAATCCAAACTGAGATGCTCAGAAATAGTAAAGAGATGCTTACTTATCACCTACAAAATACAGTTTGTTTTATACATGATTAAGCCTGTTTGGATTGAAATAAATAAAAAATAATGTATGTAGTGCCGACAGCATATTCTCAGCAGCACATATCTGCCTCCCTTAAATAGCACGTTCATTTGTCTGATTTTTAAGACTCTAAAAAAAGTCACTCTCTGGGTAAAGCATTGTTGTACCTCATGCAAACAGGAAAGTATTAACTATAAACTGAAAATCCTAAACCCTTTGATTAAAATTTATTGCAATTTATTTTCTTCTTTAAATAATTATATAAAAAAATGGATGAATATTCAGACGAGTTCAATTATGATGCAAAAAAAAAAGCATAATTTATTCTAAGACTTTTTAACCTCACTTGTGGAAATAAATCGAGAACCCTGATTAAACAACAATTTGGAAAAGCCCGAAATATGAGGATAGCAAACATATGAGGAAAAACAACACTGAGTTATTTCTAAACTAGCTTAAAATCAATTAGAAAACACATTCCTGCATTTCCTTGTTTAGAAAATCTCACTATATTTCTGCTAATAGTAACCAGTGAGTATTTCTGCAACATCCAGTTAACAATGAGAGTTAAAGTCCAGTTAATCAGGAGATCTAACTTTTTTTATCCTTTGTGTCCTCAGTCTTTTGGTGTCTGAGCAGGAATCAGCTCCATCCTACTTACTCCTTTGTGAGCCGATCATCACTTTAGAAACAAAGTTCACAATAGCGCTTGCTGGCTGTTCAGGGTCATGTTCTGCAAATAGGTGGCACACATTGTCCATTGAAGTGCCTGTTTTCCTTGCCACAAATCCAAAGATTCTACAAAAGCAGAATACAGCAGTTAATAGCAGCATGGTCATCTACCACAAACTGATTGAGTGTTTTCCAAAATAACTGTGGGGACACCATTTTGGCTGCAGCTCTGGAGTAAATAATAATTATTTACTTACTTTGCTGATGGGCAGCCCTCTTTCTTCCACCTATAAGCAGTAATAATATGACATCAGAAACAGTGAAAATAACTGTTGAGACCTAGAATTTGCTTTTATCCTAAGATTCAGAGAATAATACTCACTTTCTATCTTGAGGGTCCAATGCACAAAATATGACTGTGTTGACATTATAATGCCTTCTGAAAAAAAGCCTGAAAAAAGACAAATTCATAAATAAGAAAAGTGGATTTATTTGTAAATCAAGAGTGTGTGTGTGTGTGATTAGTACTCACTTCCTCTGGTTGTCTGTAAGAGTAATTCCCTGGGAGGAAACCTTGAAATGTACCACAGTGGGGACTGGTGGAGGGTTGGTATTAAGGGTTATACTGGTGGCTTTCTGCACTGCCTGGACCCCTGTGAGGGACTCCATTTCCACAGAGCCCAGGTACCATACATTACAGGCTGCAATTACAAAAAACAGTTAAAGTCCAATAGTATTACAAATGGTAAATAACAGAGTGAGTGCTCTCTGAGAAACGATAACAGGTTCAAAAAACACTTGTTTGAAAAAAACCAAACAATTGTTTAATTATGGTCTCGTTTTCTTGTGTTTTTCAAAAACTCTATTTACAGAGAACGATCCAAGAAGTCTAATTACCTGCTCCCTGCTTCAGCAGCTCAGCAGCCGAATTAGTGACTGAATGTGAAATGTTCTCCACAACATCTTCGAGTGGATCTTATGAACAAAAAAGAAGAATATAAGAAACATGCAGTTTTATTAAAAAAAACTTATTATAAAAATAAAAAAATTATAACCACAAGCAGGCAGTTATAGAGAGGCAGTGAAAAAAAACTCAGATAAAATGAAGCTTCTATAGTGGCCATGGTCTCTAGAATTGTATTAGATGCCAAGGTTGTCTGTAAGTGTTTACCTCTGTTAGGAATAATGAGTTTACAGGGCAAAGCCAAGGGAGTTATTGAATGTTGGTAAACCAATGCAGTTAAGCTTCCTGTAAAACAAAATGAGAAAAGAGAATTCATGATGAAGTCACGCATTCAGTCACAAATAATTATTGAAATTGCTTTGGTGAAAGTAAGGAAATAAGATGCAGAGTGAACAAAAGTAAGTAATGTTTGTTTTTATAGCACCTTTCACAGACATAAAAAGCCACAAAGTGCTTTATAAAATTGCAATACAAATAAAAATACATTTATAGCCACAAAAGACATGTTCATAAAAAAAAAAAAAACTTTAATCTACTAGAATTAAAATGCTTTTTTAAAGGAGTAATCTCCCCTGGTCCTGCAACAAGTACGAGGGACCATGAGCAGGTTCAGGTCCTGGGGGGTATAAGGACACAACAAGTCTCTAATGTAGGAGGGGGCCTGACCGTGAAACGCCCTGAAGGTCAGCACCAGGATTTTAAACCGAAAAGAGACTGGCAGCCAATGAAGAACTTTTAGAATCGGCGTAATATTAGCCCTTCTGTTTGTATGAGTCAGTAACCTCGCCGCAGGGTTCTGAACCTGCTGAAGATGAGAAAACTCCTTTTTGTTTAAACGTGAGAATAGACTGTTACAGTAGTCTAAACGGGAAGACACAAAGGTGTGAATAATCATTTCAAGATCATCTCTGGACACAATTTTTCCAAGTTTAAAGATTTTCCTCAGTTGGTAAAAACAGTTCTTTGCCAGTAGTTTTGAGTGACACTGTTTTGTCAAAGATAACGCCTAGGTTTCTAAGGCTTGGTTTAGCAGACAAACTCAAGTCACCCAGATACTGGTGGATCCCTGGCATAGCATCAACAGGGGAACTCACCAGCACCTCTGTTTTATCTGACTTTAGTTGCAGGGAATTTTCACCAAGCCATTGTATTTGTTTTTGTATGCAGGACAATTCAGCAGAGAACTTAACTTCTGGATCTCTGAAGACTTACTGAAGATTTACTGCTCTGAAGAGCAGTAAATCCTGATATCATCAGCAAACAGATGATAGGAAACATCATCAAATCTCTGAATAACTTTTCCTAATGGAAGGACATACAGTAAAAACAAAATTGGGCCCAAAGCAGAGCCCTGAGGAAGCCCTCACAAAAATTCGGCAGAGTCAGACAGGATCTGGTTTGCAGAGACACTAATGCTCCCACGCGTTAAGTAAGAGGAGAACCAAGCTAAGATCAGTCCAGACATTCTGACCAAGTGACATAATCTTTTCAACAAAATTTCATGGTTGACCGTTTCAAATATTGATGAGAGATCTAATAACACAAAAACAGTGCATTTTCCAGAGTCTGCAGACATCATAATATCCCTGGATACTTTAAGCAGGGCGGTTTCTGTGGAATGACGTTTGCAGAAGCCAGAATGAAATGTGTCAAAAATTTTGTATTTTTCCAGGAAAGGACTAACTGATCAGATTCCACCTTCTCCACAAATTACAAAAAAGAAAAAGAGCTTTTTGATTAATAGAGACTGTGATTAGTTTCCCTCTGCTCCGTTTTACTCATGCTTTGACCTTTTACTTGCTTATACAGAGTAGCAGTGGCAATTGTTTTGTAATAGATAGACTGCCGCTTTTGTTATGCCATTGCAAAGTTATTGGGAAATTGATTTTATTTTTACTGCAACACTATTAACTACATAAATTAAGTATAAAATATTGAAATAAGAAAAGTACAAATGAAAATATTCCCCAGGTGAAATTTAAAACTTATTCAACTGCCCTTATTCAAAATAAACACAACATGCAGTATGATTATACAGAGTGTATAATAATAGTGTGCAATAAAAGTGAGAATTATAAAAATAAACCTTTGGATGTTCAAGATTAACAAAATTTCAAACAAAAATCATAAATAGAAAAATAAACAATTAAATATTCATTAATATTGTTTTAATTTATGAGATACATAATTAAGTTTAACAATTCAATTTTGATATTTAATTAAAAGGTTAAAAGCATTTACAATACAATAAATACTTTTTTACTTTATTTTGAATAGTTCTAATGTGAAGCACATTGTTTTTTGTTTTTTTTTAATAAACCCAAACTACTCTGCTGTCAACAAGATAGGCTAAGGAGATCAGTCAGCTCTGAAACTGCTGTGCAGATTACTCTGCTCAAATTTTAGGGTCTATTTGACATATGATAATTAAATGATAACAACATATGAGTTGGGAATATAACAATTTTATTGAGTAATTAAAACTTCTGATACATTTATTTCAACAGAATAGTTTTCTAATGTTATAACCCTTACCTTTCTTATAACATATATATTAACAAGTACTACCATTATTACTTTAAAATCGTTTGTTGGTTCATATTTCTTTTTTTTTATATTTTAAGAAATAAGACATGAAAGGAGTTATTGTTTTGTACTATTTAGATCACAACAAACCACTTGTACTATATACTGTACACCAGCAGGGGGGAGTGTTGCACAACTCTTACTATTACCAACAGAGGGAAACAGTGTAAGCACTCACCAAAGTAAGGCTCATTGGGACATCCTTTAAGGCGCACACCTTTCTGTGTGCACTCAATCAGGAAGTGGCGCACCAACTCATTCGTTAGATCACCACCTATCAGAGAATATAAACCAAGTATTTCACGTTTTTGAAAAAAAACAAGCAAAAACAGTTTGGTTTATCTAATATAATTTTCTCTCCAGATATTATTGTTATACGATTAATCAAAATCTGGATGGAATGTGGGGTGTCTTTGCAAGGAATATTGAAACAAAGGTTTGGAGAAAACTTCCTTATAACACCTGGTTATATTTTAAAATTTGAGGAGCTATGAGGCTCCAGGATCAAATGGGAGTTTACTAGTGGTTCCTTGAATTTTCTAAAAGTAGAATGAGATGCAGACATTTGGTCTACTTTTAAGGCAAGGCTATAAACTTTCCTTTTTGATAAGGCTTACAGTTAGAGTGGCTCAGGTTATCCTGAGCTATCTCTATAGTTATGCTGCTATAGGCTTAGACTGATGGAGGACATAGGGACCCATTTTTCTCATTCCACTTCCTTTTTTCTCTATTCTCCCCTTCTGCAGTAATTCTTACCGGTAGTTCAATCTCTTATGTTATGCTCTCTTTCTTTTTTCTCATCACATTAGCTTCATCTGGTCTGTTCCTGTTCGGCTGTAACACCATCCTGGATAGAAATATCAACTGTGCTGCTGCCATCAACACCTTTCTTTAAAGATGTTGGAGTTTGGCCTGTTTTTCAGGGTAGTCCTGTTTCTCTGACTATGACTAACTGTATGTGCTCTCTTCATCCTCTGACATGGGAGCTGGCTCAGAGCTTTTCTGCCTGGCTGTGTTTCCCGTCTGTGGAGCTTATTAAAAAATTTGCCTTTTGTATCTCAGCTGCCTTTTGTACCCCACTTGGTCTTGACAGACGGCTGTCACACTGACCCTGGTTCTGCTGGAGATTTCTTCCTGTTAAAGTGGTGCTTTCCTCTCCACAGTCGCTACCAGAATGCTTGGAGTGAGGGATTGCTTTCCTGTCAATGCGATCAGCTGGTTTTCCTTAGATAGAAACATTTTTTAACCAATCTGACAGCATGATCTGGTTGAACTGTCTCCGTAAAGTGCCTTGAGATGACGTGCTGTGAAAAGGTGCTGTATAAATAAACTGAATTAATCAGTTTGACATATTTGTAAAAAATTCAGTGTCCGAATCAATAATGATTCAGATAAAACATTTCTATCTATCTATCTATCTATCTATCTATCTATCTATCTATCTATCTATCTATCTATCTATCTCTATATATAGATATATAGTATAAAAATAAAGGAATCCTTCTTCTCCTGGTGTGTCATTTTCTTCTCTCTTTTTAAAATGCTTTAACTGTTTTTCCCTACAGTTTCTGTGATCAAGTTTCTATCAGCCACCTACACCTTGTAAGGATTATTTTCTATTATTCACGTATGAGCTTGTTAAACCCTAATATTACTTGCCTGTTAAACATCAAGACTAATCTTTAGACTAATCTTTCAGCAGGCTTTGTTCTAATGCTTCAAAAAGTATATTGCCCAACTATGCAAAAATAAAGCAAAAGCTTTTAAGCAAAACATACAACAAACAAACCATATATTCTGAAAAAAGCGTTTAAATACGACAGATATATTGTATGTCAGGCAGGAAGGTTTCCTCCAGAATCTCGTGAGAACACGCTTACAAAACAAGCATATCTTTTGTTGAAGGGTGAAACATTAGCTGTACATTTATGATTATCTGGCACCGAAGGTCTATTTCACAAGATGCCCAGGAGAAAAAGAGACAGAGTGATCAGAGCTGACATATTAAAAGAAAGAAGGATTCTCAGGTTCCAACATGAATATGAATACAGTGGGCAGTAAGCAAAGATTGTTTGGGTGTGACTCTTTTGTTGCTGTTGTTTTTGGTTTGTCTGTTTTTTAACATGATACTCTGGACAGCCCTGTATTATAAACATATATTGTAAAATTACTTTTAAAGCATGGTGCTGGAGTCCATGTTTCTGTGGAGGGATGTTAGCATGGCTTAGCTGGAAAACTAAAAGCAAAAGTCACCTGAACAACTAGCTGCCTTGGATATTTTATTGTGAAATTTTCATTAAATGAAGCTAGTTTGAAATAGATAAGGAGAGTTAAACATAGCAATGAGTTTAGTTCAATCAGAGAGGAAGCATAAGGTTTACATTACCAAGCAAAAGTTGTTTAAATTCCTTAAGATTTATCAAATTTTGCCACATTAAAACCATACATCTTTTGTGTATCCTTTTAACATTTTAGAAGACCAAAAAATAAATAAAAATAAAACGCTAAATTAATATAAAAGAAACAAGAAAATGTGTTCTTTTTAAACAAATTCTGAAAGGTTTAACATTTATATTAGAAACTTAAACATCTAATATCCCTTTGGGATTAATTAAGTTTTATTGAATTTAATCAAGTACTTAACCCCTCAGAGATCAAATATATAACATATTTCTGCTGCAAACCTTTTTTTGCACATCTCAATAACAGTTTTACACATCTGGAAATTCATTTAACTTAGTTTACTTTCAGTCCAGTTTAATCAAAATTTTCTGCCTGAGAGGAGGAGTCTGACTTGACTTTTTAGTGATCATGGGCCACACTTTTTACATTTGCAGAAAAAAAAGGTAAATAAAAATTTTCTTGATGCACTGTAAAATCACAAAACAACACCACATGTAACACACCTTTTCTGCTCTGCTGGATGACCGATGGAGGAGGTGTTGCCACTTTCATAGCCAGACCGTAGGCCCCTTTAAAGGAGTGGCTGTCCCTCACTATGAAGCAGCCGGGTTCCTTCTCCTTTAAAACTGAAATAGCTAAAATAACATAATCACAATGAGTCAAAAACATGTATACTTCTTTAATTTAGTTAAACAAATAAACCTCACTCAGAATAAAGGGGACCTACCTTGGTCCCTTGAGATATCTGGTTTGTACCAGAATTTTGAGGTATCCTGTACAAACTTTACAGACACCTGCTTGCCCACAAGTACATCTGGAAAAATACAGAAGCATTGAAACATTATAAAAAAGTTTAAAAACACTCAGCGAACCATAAGTGAAATGTTGTTAACCTGGCAGTGGTGAGACAGAACATGGTATTTGAGCTGACAAGTCAGGCAGCACATTAGGGAAAGGAATACTAAGGGAGCTCCCACTGTGAGGACTGGAGAACCCACTGAGGGCTGGAGATGCAGTTCCCAATGAATGTTCACCATCTGATGCTCTCTTTTTTTCAGGCAGCAGAGGGGGCTGTATCTGGGGAATCGGTGACTGATGCTGGCCTTCCATGGCGGTCAAAAGATCTCCGTCTACACCCATGTCTGGACACTCTTTGCCATAGGTATGAACAGACCCGTCTTGCTCATCAATGCATTGAGGACTACGGCTGAGGGCATAGGAAACAATATGGCTTCTCTGGCTGCTTCGTGGAGAGCTGTGCGCATTGGGAGCAGGATGGGCATGAGGGAGGTGTAAAGGGGGGGAGTGATGCCCATAGTCCAGAGTTGAGTGCGATACTGGCGGTCTAGCAGAGAGGAAGCTATTCAGGGAGGATTGGTGGGTCAGAACATGATGCTCTGGCCAGGAATGATTCACAGATGAGCTGGGTAGACAAGAAAGTAAGTAAAAGTTTAATACTGCTCAAAAAAACCTATAAACCCAACAGCAGTAATATAGCTTAAGGTGCCTCTTAAAGTATTCATTTCCCTGGAACATTTTCACGTTTTATCACTATTATAAAATACTAAACAAAAAAAAACAAAAAACGACATAAACGTGCATGGACCTTTACTTATTGAAATTATTTCTCTTAGAAAGCAAATAGCATCATGAGGACCAAGAACTTAGCATGGAGTAGGGCTGGGCAATGAATCATATTGGCATTAGAAAAAAAAAAAAAAAAATGCAGAGACACTCAATTTTTGCTAAATTACATTAACAAGAGTAATACACTGACATTCTAACTCCAGCCCTTTAGGTTTTTTTAGTAATATGCCCTTATATATGGGAAGGAAGAGTTGCAGTTAGCAGAAGAATTGCAGTTAGCAGAAGATTCAAGATTTAAGCATGCCAGTAGAAGTAAGCATTTTTCCATGAAAAGTAACAGTTGAGTATTGTCCAGAATCTTGACTCTGGACATAGTCTAACTTTCAAGGTCTTGAAAACAATAAATCCTTGACAAAAAGGATAAAAAAAATCCCAACTTTGATTTTTTTATTAAATCATTCAGTCTTAGCTTTGAGAAGCTTGGAGAAGTTTAAAGTGAAGCCATAAAGCAAATTCCAGAGCTTCGAACATCTCACAGAGCAGGGTCTAACCTACCATCTGAAATTTGATATAGCAAAAATATGACCTACTGAGATGTGGCTGTCAACCTAAATAAGCAGGTTGGGTAAGAAGATTAGTAACAAGAAAGCAGCTAAGAGGACCTTCAGAAATTTAGAGGTGGTTTTAAGATGATTCAAGTGAGATAATCCAGAGGATAAACATATTAGTTGTTAACTCCATAAATCTGGTTTGTCACAAGCAGAAATAACAAGGAAGCAGGTAATATTTTATACATTTTACCCTAAATGCAAAATGCATTGTATGACAAAAAACCCAAACTACACTCTAAATACTCCATCCCCATGCTGCAGCATGGTGGTGGAGGCATCCTACTTTCTTTAGAAGAAACATAAA